CTTGATTTCTTCATTGATTTTAGGATTGATAGAATGAGTTTTTTTAAGCTTCTTCTAGGTTTTATTTTTATTTTTTTGAGTTTGGTTTGATTTGTTTGCGCTCAACCACTTCCCTTTTTTTTGTGCTTGTACAAACACTTTACCTTACAATATAAGAATCGGTTCCTCACTTGGTTGAACATGTAGCTCTCTATTCACGCTAATACCAATGTCGAACAATAAAACCCTAATAAATTAATGTGGGAAAACCTTTTCAACAATGCATGGTTTAGAGGCAAATCGACTTTAGTGCTCAGAAGACAATGCTCACACATTTCACATAACCTTTCGTAATTGTGTTATTTATTTCATGGATAGAAAATGCTTATATTTTTAGAAGATGATAATTGTTAGGGAGGATGGTAATCCCTTAATAAAAAAAATTGTGTTATATGCATCTAAATTATTTTTGTGTTTAGTTGCTTACTTGTACTTGTTTTCAGCCATCTGAGTAAATGGAAACTCATACTAGACACCTTGTTGATAATGAGGAGCCTGAAGTTAATTCAAGACATTGACCTAAATGTGCCGAATGAGGAGCCTAAAGAGAAATGTTTGATTATGAGTTTAGTGAACATGAAGTCAATGATGGGGGTAATGTTATTTTTGATGTTGATATGAATGAAGATAATGATAATGGCCTACCAAATTATGAACCTGTATCAAAATATAAGAGCCTAGTAGATTCATATGATGATGATACACGACATGCACCCAAAGCACCATACAATATTGAAGTGCCTAATTTGCAAGTGGGCATGTGCTTTCCAAGTGTAAAAGAATTTAGGGATGTTCTCAAAGAGCACATTATTATAAATGGGTTTCAAATCAAGTACATAAAAAATCAAAAGTCCCACGTCACAGTTTAATGTGCATGGGAAGACTGTCCATGGCATATACATGCTTTAGTGCTGCAAGATGGCCTCACTTATTAAATTAAGACACTTAATACTATGCACAATTGCTTACGTATATATCATAACAAACAAGCAACTAACACCTGGGTTGCTAAAAATATTGGAGAAAAGTTGTGTCAAAATCCCACTTGGATGATAGATTCCATAATTATGGAATTGAGACAGAGGTTTGATGTAGAAGTTCCAAAGAGCAAGGTATATAACAATGTTAAAGGCAATGAAACAAGTTGAAGGGTGCCAACAAAGCATGAATGGTTAAGTTACCAAACTATTGTGAAGCAATATTGAAAGAGAACCCGGGAAGCACCACTAGAATAAGTGTGGATAAGCTCACTCTTAACTCACCTCCCATCTTTCAAAGAGTGTTTGCTTGCTATGATGCAATGAAAAGAGAAGCATTACCTGGATGTAGGAGATTGGTGGGTTTGGATGATTGTCATTTGAAGGGGCCATGTGGGTGAATTTTGCTCGTTGTTGTTCATTTGGATGGCAATAATGGCATTTTCTAGTTGGAATTATTGTTGTTGAGGTTGAAGGTAGGCCTAGTTAGACTTGGTTTCTATAGTAATTAGAAGATGCTATTGATACCGTAGATGGTGGCCATGGATGGTGCTTCATGTCAAATCGGTAAAAGGTAAGTGTGTTAATTTGTTCAATTTTGTTTTATGTTGAAGATATGGTTACATGTTTATTAATACTTTTTTTATTGATTAAATAGTACCTTGTTGAAGTTGTATGTGATGGAATGCCCAATACAAAGCATAAGTTTTATGTTTGTTACATGTACTCTAATTTTAAAATAATACACAAGGATGTTGCACTAAGAAATGTATTTTGGGAGGTTGTAAGGGCATACACAATGCAAGATTTCAATAATACACTATTGAAGATGACGGCCCTAAGCTAATCCACCTGGGAATAGGAAAAGGACATTCCTTAGAAAACATGGACCCGGCATGCCTTTAACCTTAATATCAAAAGTAATGATTTGACAAATAACATGTTAGAGTCATTTAACAAATGGTTATGGATGCTAGGTTTAAAGCTATTATTCCTCTCCTATAGTACATACAACGTAAGTGGATGGTTAAAATCAAATCTAGACATGATGTAGCATCAAAGGACACAAATGCTCTTTTACCAAAAGTTGCTAGGTTGGTTGAGAAGCAAAACTAGCTTGTTAAGCATTTATTTAATTGGTTATCATTTATTATTTATAGATTCTTTGTGTTTTCTTGTTTACTCATTTTAGTGTAATTGTTGAAGTGAGGGAATTGCCAAATCTTTAAGTTTGGAGAGTTGGAGTATAAGGTGCAATATAACAACATATGGGAGAGTGTTTACTTACAACACTCTTCTTGTAGTTGTCAAGTTTGTGGATTCCTTGATAGCATGCATTGGCCGTGGCAATCCATAGGCAAGAACGAATTGAAGATTATTTCAACGAATGCTAGAAAATAGAGAAATATTTGACAGCCTATGCACCAATCATTTACTCTTATTGGATAAAAAATATTGGTTGGAAAGTTCTTGGGATCCCATTGAAACACTACCTTTAAAGAGACACTAGGAAGACCAAGATTTGCTAGAATAAAGGCATCGGATAAAGAGCCATCAACAAGGAAACATTTATTTTAAGATAGAAGAGTTAAATGTTCTAGATGCAAAATATATGAATACAATGTTAGAGGTTGTCAAGGGTCAACACCAAGAAACAGAGGAAGCAATTCTGGTTCAGCATGTGGGAGTGGGCCATCTGCACAATCACATAATTTGTAGGTCCTATTAATATACAAGTAATGAGGTGCATTAATTTTACTTTCAATTGATTGTTTTCCTCAATGATAATTGGGTATTTATTTATAGGTGGAAAGAGTAAATAATGGTGAGAGAGGGTCTAACAAAGCCATGAGGCCCCAAACTCAACACCAAGTTACAGGACAAAATGTTATTTTATAGGTATTAAACCAATAAATTTATAAATGGTTTTTCATCTCAAGTTGCACATACTATTATATTACTGCAATCAAACCTCAATTTCCTCTTACATATTTGAACAAATTTGGTTATTTAAGACTTTATATTGATTACAGGAACATGTACAACCTCAATAGGTGTCATTGTATTTTAGATTCATGAGACCCCAAGTCCATCATCAAGTTGATAATTTGTAAGGACAAGAGCAGCCAAGCAGTCAAGCACTACACTATTCGCAACCATTTTGAACACTTGCTTGTTTGGACTAATAAAGGAACAATAGGTTGACATCAATCTAAATGAATTGAGAAAGAACCGCAATAGGAATAATTTTGTGTATTTTTTTGTTAGGTCTGATAAAGTAACAAAACATTAACTTTGTATGGGTTGATAGAGAGGTACAAAACAAATCATTTTTGAAAACAAATTCAATTTCCATAGTAGTAAAATCATGTTATTTTTGTTGATTTATAGTTGTTTCCATAATAGCAATATACTCTTCACTTGGCTCCAAATACACTTATTCAATCAAACTATATATCTGTGCATTGTTTTCTCTTGTCGGATCAGAATCTTCAACATATATATGACATTGGAACTTATTTTTGTTGATCTTATTTGCATTTTTCACCTAGCAATTGGTGGTTGTTTGGTTGAGAAGATTCATGGAATTCATCAAGCCAAGCTGTTTATGGGTATTTGAGAGGAACTAGGGATATTGAACTAAAATTATAATTTATAATCTCCTCACTAATGTATATAGTCAATAGTAGTAAGAAACAACTGAAAGAAAATGTAAATTAGCTCAATTAGCATCCAAAAAACACTATGAAATGAAAAAGATTATAGTCAATTAGTACTTAGAAAACACTTAAAAGAATCGAAAGAAAACCAAATCTAGGTCATCTATTAGAACCATCTTCCATGGAGCCTAGGTTATTAATTGCAACAAGAAAGAGAAAAAAGTTTCAGGTGTATGAACCATGCTACCTACACTAATTTCACAATACTCTTGATCAAAATTCTCACTAACGGTCTCCGCACTTCGTTGATTCTTTCCAACTTCACCATGGAAAGACTAACCGAATTCTTCATAGCACCCAYAATCATGATCTTCCAAACAAGACACCTTCATTAAACAAACATCTTCAGCATGTGGCAGCAGGGTAATTTCTTCAATAATCTGTTTGGTCTCACAGTTAAATGAGTCAAAACCGAGGTTGTGACCACTAGAAATGGTTATTCTGTTAACTAATAAATAAAGAGGTTGTCAAATTCTACAGTTAATTATCTTTATCATGAAAATTCATTTATTTTCTTGAAATTTTTATATAAAATTTAAGTTTTACCCCATTCTCTTCCTTTTTTCTTTCTCTTGTTTTTTTTTTTTTCTCTCTCAATCCTCAAACCCATTTCTCTTTTAAACCATGTATATCAATTTTTGCCAAACCCATCGCATGAAGTAGAAAGGATTAAGATAGTTGCACTAGGACAATTGAGTGACTCATTTAAAGAATATTGTTAAAAATATTCTGGTAAAACCCTTGTGCGTTAAAATGAAAATAGAGAACCCACCTGATTGAAACCTTGTTCATTAAAATACTGGTAAAACCCTTGTGCATTCTTTCCTCCTGGGTTTGTTCCTCTTGAGTTGCTCCTCTTTAAACAGAAAAAGTTGAACCTGGAATAACGAAAGAGGGCAAAGAGTATAATATGTAGACAAGGGGTATTTTAGTAAAAACAATGTAAATTAATTTTAAAAGGATAAAATATGTATTTTAAAAAAATRATCATGGGTTTAATGTTTTCTGTCTTGGTCATTGACAAAAGGGAGGTATTTTCTGTCTTGGTCATTGACAAAAGGAAGATATTTATCGATTTTTTCAAAAATAGGGRAAGATTTTGTTAAAGTAAAACTATAGGGGATGTTTTTATGATTGTCAAAAACTTCAAGGGAGGTTTTCGTATTTTATCCTTTTAAAATGCACTCGGTCGTATACATGTTTTCCGACCAGCTAGGCAGCTCGGATTTCCTACCCACAAGAACTCTTTGTATATTTCCTAAAAAAATCCAGAGGTCGGAGTGGTCACTTGGAGGTTGGTAGTCATTAATCGTTACGAGAGTCTATGGTCGTTGACTCATTATTTARCGCAAAGAAACACAGTTAGCTTCTACTATGGCGCTTAGAAGAGCCGCCGCAACTGCAGTTCCAAAACCAAGAAGAGATACTTCAACTCAAAGCGGCACCTCCTTTCTATCCACTGTTATTCGTCGCTCCACGGATCTACATGGAGTAACTCGGACTCACTCTACAAGCGAGTGTAGTGTTGATTTTCCTGATAGAGGCAAATTCGAAGTTTCCATCAGAAACCGATGTAAGTCGGATGCAACGAGTCTTGAAGAGTGCCTTGGTTTGTTCCATCAAATGGTTCGAATGAAGCCCTTGCCATCAATTTTCCCTTTTAACCAGATATTAGGGGTAATAGCTAGAATGAAGCATCATTACACTGTGGTTTCCTTGTATAAGGAAATGGGTTCAAWGGGAATCCGTTGTGATGTTTGTACATTTAACACAGTAATTAATTGTTTCTGTCACTTGAAACGGGTGGATCTCGGCTTCARTCTTCTGGGGAACATTCTCAAACGCGGTTTTGAACCAAGTGTTGTAACTTTCAAYACTCTGATAAGGGGGCTATGTGTGGAGCATAGAATTGATGGAGCGTTGGAATTGTTCAACCAGGTAGTAGAGAAGGGATACCCATGTTGTGAAGTCACGTATGGTACAATAATTGATGGGTTGTGCAAAACAGGGAACACAGGAATGGCTCTTGGGTTGCTCAGGGAGATGGAAGAAAAGGGGAAATGCAGGCCGAATGTAAACATGTATAGTACAATTATTGATAGTCTGTGCAAAGACAGATTAGTAGATGAGGGGATTGAACTGCTTTTGGAAATGATTGATAAAGGCATGTTACCAAATGTTATCACCTACAGTTCTCTAATTCAGGGTTTATGCAATTTAGGCCGATGGGAAGAAGCTTCGAGATTTTGTAACGACATGATGGCTCATGGAATTCAACCAGATGTAGTGACCTTTAGCATTCTTGTTGATGCTCTTTGCAAAGAAGGGAAGGTCAAAGAAGCACACTCCCTGTTAGAATTAATGATTGAAAGAGATAAGGAGCCTAATACAATCACATACAGTTCACTAATGGATGGATACTGTTTGCAAGGGCAAATGGATGTTGCTATAGGAGTCTTCGATTCCATGGTGAATAGAGGGCATGAGGCTGATACAGTTACCTACAGTGTGTTGATCAATGGGTTTTGCAAGATTAAGAAGATAGATGAGGCCATGATGCTCCTAGAAGACATGCATCGCCATGGATTGAAGCCCACAATTATTACTTACAATACTCTCATCAATGGGTTGTGCTTAGTTGGGAGAATTACAGATGCACAAGAGCTCTTTAACAAGTTGCAGGATGATGGTCATAATCTAGAGATATCCACTTATAACATTTTGTTGGATGGTATGTGCAAGAACAATCATCTCGATGAGGCAATGAAGCTGCTCCATCTGATGGAAGGAAGCACAGTACTACCTGATGTTAGAACTCACAACATCATTATCGATGGTATGTTTGGAGCTGGTAAGTTTAAAGATGCCAAGGAACATTTTCACAACATATTTTCCAAAGAATTGACACCTAATACTATAACATACAATGTAATGATTAAAGGCCTTTGTAAAGAAGGATTGCTGAAAGAAGCAGAGGAATTGTTCTTGGAAATGAAAGAGAAGGGTTATCTGCCAGATGAATCCACATTTAATATTATAGTAGGGGCTTTTCTTGAGAAGAATGAGACCCATAGAGCAACGCAGCTTCTGAATGAAATGATTGAGAAGGGTTTCTCACCAAGTTCACACATTACATCACTAATAGTGAACTTGCTTGAAGTGGATGGCATAGATCGTGGATATGTAGAAATGCTCCAGAAGTTCTTGCCAAGGACAAGGAAATGAACTAAACCCAAGTTAACATTCTGCGCAGAGTGTAGCTACTCATCTCTCTGAGGGTCATATTTTATATCTTGAAATTGATAAAGGTGCAGCCTTTGCAAGAGTCTCAATATAACGCCTGAAGACTAGGTAAAACCATTCATATGTGGAGAATTGTTTTTGGATGCTAAGCTGTCAATTTGCGTTCTTGAGAGGGGTGGCTGGATGCAAACCTAACCTTTGGCTTTTTTTTCCACAAAGTGGATTTTTCTAATCTCTGAAAACAACAACCATAGAGATAGAGGTATACAAAGCATTCATATATGATGGCATTTCTCAATCTTTATATCGAAGAGAATAAGTCATAATACAGTGTATCATCTTAGGTGGGAAAATCACATATATGATGACATTTCTCAACCTATCCATTAAGTTGCATGCTACATTACTTGATATCCTGTTCCAGAATCTTGTGACCTGTAAATTTACTTGGTTGTACTTGCTGTTGCAGCTTTGCCATTCACTCTTATGGTCATTCTTCTTGTTGCCTATGGTTGTTTAGGTTCCATGCTACAGTCTTCCATAAGCAAGGTGATCTTCATTAGAAAAAAACAATGCTACAGAAGATATTCCTGTATGACTTGTCTGAGTTCTGAACTATATTTTAATGTATGCTAAAGTATCAGGTGTTGACCAGTCTGTAGAAACAATGGATACATGATTAGTTTGACATCCAAGTCCAAATGTCTACTAGAATATTAAAAAATTCATGGCCATGCAAGTGYCTTTCTGGAACTGCATTGCTGCTAGACGAGAATGATGAGGATTCCTCTCCTTCTGGGGACTGGAGTAATGAGGTTTGTTTGGGTGGTGCAGCTGTTTTGATAATCTCAAATAGTAATGCTTAATCCATGACCTCTCAACTCAACTCAACTCAACTCAACTATGCCTACCTAAAGCTCTACCAATATGAAATAATAATGTTTTTGAACTGCTGTTAACCCGGATGGTTGGACCATTCGGCCTGGGAACCATCCAGGCAGCTGGTTTCATTTTACCCCAAATCTGATCCCTGGCCAAAAACTGTTGAATTGGTCAGCGACCCGCTGACCCGGGCAGTCAAACCATCGATCCATTCAATGGTTTTGGATATTTTTATTTTTTTCATTGGAATGGGCTGTCTGTTCAAACCAGATGGTTGACCGTTGACCCGGAAACCGGTGGCCAGAATGGTTCCAGTTCCAGGTCAGTTTTTAAAACCTTGATGAAATATTAATCTTGATAATTCCTTGTCGAGAGGCAATTTAGTACTTGCTTGGTCTGATAATGGTCAATGGTTTCAGATCTATTGTTACTTGTTAGCTTGACTAGACTAACAAAGATTTATGTATTGATAACTTCTACAGTAGCAGAATAGTGTTCTATATATGCATCATTCATTATTTATGTTAATATAGGAGGTTGGACTGGGGAAGATATATTTTGACAGGTACTGAGATGTGCTCCATGATTGGAACTGGTGATGTTTGGCGAAAGAGCATAACAGCAGAGCATGTTGGAACTGGGAATAACTGAAGTTCATGAGCACAGACAGCACTGACATAGTGTGACATGTGCTCATTAGCATGCCTCACACCAACCTCAGCGCATGGCATCCGTGCTTTGAGAACATCTCTTATATTTGATGTTATCATTCATGGGAAGATGTTCCTAATGCACGACTGCACTGCACTGTGAAGTTGGTGTGAGGCCGAATTCTTTTCCGGGGGCTTCAGCTTTGATTTAGCTGCACTGAATGAGCCGCTTTGATAAGCAACTATGCTCACAGAGAATCGTTTACTTTAGATAAATTTAGTGTTTTTTTTGGAAAACAGGAAGTTCATTCCAACATGGAAAAGAGAACGACTACAGAAAAACAGGAACACCACTAACAGTGGCAACTAGAAAAGAAACTAGAAGAGACAAAAACCAAGCAACTAGCTACTAGAAGCACGAGGATCAGAACCAGCGCACAAAAGTTCAGATAGCATTAGAGGGGCTGCCTGAAAGCTACTTTTTAGCCCCAAAGCAGAAGCAGCGTGGGCAGCAGAATTTGCACTTCTGGGGTACCAGCTGAACTTGAAAATCCTGTTAAGAGAATAAAACCTTCAAAGAAGCGTTCTTGATGGCTGTCATCACCAAATATGGCTTTCCGTTTTTTTCGCCATATATGGCTTCTATATTTTCCATATTGGGCCCACCTTGCAAAGCCAGAAGCCGCTGCGTTGAAGCCCTGTCAAGTCCCAAACGAACCAGCTTAGCTGGATTTTCAGTTCAACCATTGGGATATGCTTCTCACAGAGCGCGTTACACACCGACCTCATAACCACATCCCACCGTGTATTAGGAATCTCCCATGAATGTATAGGAGATGTTTCCGACGTTCAGCCAGGACAGACTGTGAGGTCATAATGAGGCGCGTTTTTGTGAGGAGCAGATCTGGGCTCCCTCTCAAGTCCCAAACGGGTATATGCACAACGCGAGCTGAACTTTCATCTGCGTTGTAACATGTTGCTCTTTTGGGGAAACATGTAAAAGTAACAGGAGGTGGGTTAATACTCTCGTACTCATTTTTTTAAACAAAAATACTGAAAAAAAAAGCATTTTTCGACAAGTCATCTCTATTTTTTGTCTTTTTTCTCTGTGTTTTGGAGATGAAGAACAATGAAGAGAGCATCTCAATGGGTAGAAAACTAAATAGAATTTAGAGTGGGCAGTGGAAGAAAACTTGAAGGACGGTGGTAGAAAAGAAGGTTTTTGGCAAGTCATATATCCTTTATTCATTTCAGAGATCTTCGAAGACAATCAAAGCCTTCATGTACAATATATTGGAGTAYAGGGGCTTGTTGTAAGCAAGAAAGACAACAAACTATCAAGGATTATGGACTTGGCGTGATATTGTTGGTGTAATAAACTATCAAAATTTATGAAGTTAGTGTCATATTGTTTAATATGGTTTAATTAATACCGTACAAGAAATTTATGTGATTTTAGAGACGTCAAAGGCATTCAAAACCTCCATGCTCAATTATTGAGGTATATGAACTTATTTTGAGTGAGCCATAATTAGGGGTGTCAACGAGCCGAGTTTTTCACAAGCTGTTCGAGCTCGGCTAGACTCTATTTCAACCGAGCTCGAGTTTGAATATATATATATATATATAATAAAATTATAGAAAATAATATATATAATAAAAATATTATAATTCTTAATTTTTTAAATATTAAATAAAAATAATTTTTATATATAATTTTTTATTTTTATAAAATATTTTTTCTCAGATCGAATTCGACTCAAACAAAGCTCAAGGTTATGAATTTTTGACTCGAACCTTATACAACCTTAGCGAGCCAAGTTCGAACCTCATACTATTCGATTGGATTCGACTCGAACTCACCCCTAGCCATAATAACCGTTTTGTGGGAAGTAGAATACTCTCTATTTGTCGTTTTTTTTTTGTTCATATTGCTGGGAAGAAGATTTTGTACAATAGGGAGGGACCGACTTAGCAGTGAAGGACTTCAAGTAGCCCATTCGATATCTGATGCTCGAAGGTGCGTTTCCTACCGGGGATCCAGCAATAATTCCCGCTCATGGCATCACATCCCCAGCCCTATTTAGCTCGAGCTTCTTCCAACGGACTGGTCTCGTCTCACAAGTCCCAACGTCACCCAGGCAGCAGGCCTGCGACGAGTTCCTCACAAGAAGCAACACTTCGGCCTCCCGGTATTTGATTGTGTAGGAGAAGACGTTCTTAGTGCTGCTTCGCTGCTCATGCTGTTCATCAGAACCAAATGGCTAAGCTTTTCCTCCGACCTCTTTGTTCTATATCTGCGCTTCGCGCAACTCTGTCTCACTTTTCCTCTACTGTCAATGTTATTCCTACTACTAAAACTGTTGAAAAACAAAACTCGAACAAGTTGTCGGAAGGTTTTCTGAGAAAGAGGTGCACGTCTGGCTCCATTACTCCTGAGGAAGCATTGGGTTTATTTGATAGGATGGTCCGAATGCAACCCTTGCCATCAATATGGTCTTTCAATCAAGTTCTGAGAGAACTTGCAAGACTGAAACATTATTCAACTGTTATTTCTTTGTACAAAGAGATGAATTCGTTGCCACTCCGGCCCAATGTTTATACGCTCACCATCCTAATCAATTGTTTCTGCCACTTGAATCGCGTGGATTACGGTCTCTCTGTCCTGGGAAGCATCATGAAACGTGGGCATGAGCCAAATATTGCAACATTTAACACTCTCATCAAGGGCCTTTTTGCCAAGCATGAAATTGGCCCTGCAATGGAATTGTTTAATAAAATAGCGGAGGAGGGGTATCCATGTACTGAGATCACCTACGGGGTGATACTCAATGGGCTTTGCAAGACCGGAAACACTGGTGAGGCTCTCGAATTGCTCAGACGAGTGGGACAGAAGGATGGATATGAACCTAACTTAGTTATGTATGCTACAATCATCGACGGTTTCTGCAGAGAGGGACTGGTAGAAAAAGCAAGAGAACTCTTGTCCGAAATGATCGAGAAAGGCATCTCACTAGATGTTGTCGTGTACACTTCTGTGATTCGTACACTTTGCAATACTGGCCAGTGGAAATTAGTTGCAGACTTTTTGAATGAGATGGTGAATCAGGGAATCACCCCAGATGGCGTAGCCTTTGAGACACTAGTTGATGGTCTTTGCAAAGAAGGAAGGACTGTAGAAGCAGTTTCCTTGTTAGAAAAAGCAATGCATCAATATGGGGAACCGAATGTTTTTACTTACAACTCTTTGATTCGTGGGCTATTCAATTCAGGACAGTGGAAAGAAGCCAAAAGATTGTTCAGTGAAATGATGGAACGACAGATCTCACCAGATGTGTTTACATCAAGTATATTGGTGGATGGTTTCTGCAAAGAAGGGATGACCAGAGACGCACACGAACTGTTAGATGTAATGATCCAAAGAGGTTTGGAGCCTGATATAGTCACATACAATTCTTTGATTGATGGGTACTGTTTAGTCGGTCAAATGGATGAGGCAAAAGAAGTCTTCACATCTTTGAGTGGAAGATGTAACCCAAATGTCAGAACTTACAATATCTTGATCAATGGCTATTGCAAGAAAAGGCGGATGAATGATGCCATGCAGGTTTTCAAAGAAATGAGTCAAAAAGGATTGATGCCTAATGTTTTTACTTACTGCACTCTTATAAGTGGGTTCTGCAAGGTGGGCAAACTTGTGTCTGCTCAAAAGTTCTTCACTGAGATGAAAGATCAAGGCATATGTCCTGATCTCGTTACATACAATACGATGTTGAATGGGCTATTCAAGAGCCATTGTCCCGCTGAGGCAGTTGCTTTATTTGATGAGATTAAAAGCTCTCAATTAAAACCTGGTATAATAACTTATAACATCCTTATTAGTGGCTTGTGCAAATGTGGTGAATTTGAGGCTGCAAGGAAAATATTTTACAGCTTATTTGAATTGGGATTGGAGGCTAAAGCTAGAACATACAATATAATGATTGATGGGCTCTGTAAAGAAGGGCTGTTGGATGAAGCTAGTAAAATGCTTATTGACATGGAGGAGAAGAGTTGCCCACCTGATCAGACCACCTTCAATACTATAGTCCATGTATTTCTTCAAAAGAAAGAGACCCAGAAAGCAATGCAGCTACTTCATAAAATGGTTGAGAGGGGGTTCTCACCAAATACTTCCATTGTACAGATGTTAGCAAACCGATTATCAGCATGATTCAGATGGTGACTGTCCGGAAATGCGTTGCATTTTCTTCTTTTTTCTAAATGGACAAAAAGAAAAGCAGAATGGAAAAACTGAGTGACAAAGGACTAGTTAAAATGTTTATTATGTCTATCATGATGAAATCCACAATTTTAACATATATGTTCTTTGGTTCTCTATGAGATAGGGACAGTTTGGAGTTTCTCATTGAAATGCAAAGTTTTGAACAACATTTTCGTATCTTCACATAAAATGGTGCAGAACTCAAAATCTGAATTGCCCTGGACTGCCGTAATACAGAGGTGTTCAAAGTGAGGATTCATAATTTTGGAGAGTCAGCATGGCAGGCATTTCCATAAATCCATCCGATTTACATTGTGGCTGTGTTCAATAAATATGCATTGATTCACATGTTCCCCCCAAAGGTGGGGTGCCCATGCAACACTAGCAGAATATACTTTTGTAAAATGACTTGCATAAGTTATTGTGGATCTGGACATGATGTTGCAATTCCTAATGTCCAATTATGAAACTTCTCCATCGACTGGTAGTTCATTTTCTTATTTGGGCCCCTGTGGGTGGCTCTCTGACAATGAATTAGAAATGTGATGAATGGCCATCTATAATCGCATATATACATATGTGCACTAAACGGCACTGATCAACAATATATTGATTAAAGGGCAAATATCTTAAAATACCCTTATGGTTTAGCTAATTGACTAATTATACCCCTACTGTTTAACTATTGTATTAAACCAYCTCTATTTCTGATGGTCCATCTCATGACCTTCTTCACTAAGGCCATGCCATTACATTGGACCTTGAAACCCCTGCAACCCCTAAAATGCTGGATTGAGCGGTCGACGGAGAGAGGTGGGAGATCTCAGAGCAGCTCCAGAATTTTCGAACATAAGAGGGTAATATTGGGTTTTTAGAAATTTGCCCTTGATTAAATTAGAAGGAAAGGTATCCAGTCAATGTAGTCATCCACATGGCAATGACTCAATTATGGACGTGTCATGTTGGCAATGAGTTTCGTGTTGATATAGGTTTTGCTTGTTACCAATTGGTTGATCAATACAAATTGTTGTTTCTACCTCAAATGTCAAATTTGACATATCAATGATGAGTACTCTTTTTCTAGTCAATGTGATGCACATAAGATGTGACAAGATATATTTTTCACCAAACACATCCATAATGATCCTTAATACTACCTAACACATCCATAAGAATCCCTAATACATTGCCCCGAGAATGACTAGAATGATTATCAGAACAACTCAGAAAAGGAAAGATCAGAATTTGTGATCACCAACTAAGCATCAATCACATCATTATATATTAGGAAAACACAAACGGAATATTTCAAGTTTTCAGTTTCCACCATCCAAGCATCTACAGTCGGTTGGACTATCATAGTTGTAGTACATGCATCAGGTGAGAAACTCTAGCAAGCATAATATGAAGGTGCATTATTGCCTTTTCCACTCCTTTGTCTATGTTTGTTGTGATGCAAAACACTGATATACCGTAGTAAATGCAAATGGGTGTGAAAACCATGAGTGCAAATCTGGTTCAGCCATGATTTGGCGTTTGCACTCGTTTATTTGTTGTAGGGAGAAAATGTGGGTACATTTTCCCAATCCTTTGTTTGGACAACTGAAATGACAGCAAGATTAGAATTTGTGATCACCAACTAAACATCAGCCACATCACTATCTCCATTGTCATTAGGAAAACACAAATTGGCTATTTCAAGTTTCCACTATCTCTAGAGTCTGGTCATCAACAGTCAGTAGATTAACTAATGATAATTGTGGTATATGCATCAGGTGAGAAACTCTCTCAAGCATAATGTGAAGGAGCATTATTGCCTTTTTCACTCCTTAGACTGTGTTTGTTTGTGGTGCAAAACACTGATGTATTACATTAAATGCAAATGGGTGTGAAAACCTAGAGTTCAAATCTGGTTAATCCATGCATTAATTTTGTACTCATCTTGTTTGTTTGTTACAGGGAGCAAATGTGGTTGCAGTTTCCCAGCATTTGTTTGGACAAGTGAAATAACAATAAGAATAAAAAAAATCCAATAGAAAATGTTTTCAAGTCATTGGCTTATTTACATCAATCATGTGACGGTGCAAAGTTTGTATCCATATCTTGGAAGCAAGCTTTGCATCCATTTTGAGACTAAACACAAATTTCAATACACATTTGCAGCCTTTTTTCAAAGAAATTTTTATGTCCAAAAAATATTGAAAATACTGTTTTCTGCATAATCCTTCTCTTTAATTTTTAGCATTGAATTTTAGGTTTCCTTCACAAACCTTCTTTGTGTGGGACATTTATTGTTGCACTACATGTCTAAACACTAGGTTCTAACCCTTTGGTAGAGATGGTACTCAGAAGTTCCTTTGCACATTCATGAATGAGTTCATCTCATGAAACATTTAAAATTTTTAATGTCTCTGACAAACTTGTCGCACAAGTCATCCATCAATATGGATTCATATAGAGTATGGATATAGAGATGGGCTTTGAGCACATGCCAGCAGTGACAACTACGAATTGAGCAAATTATGAAGGATATAAAAGTGAAAGGAAATTAAAAATAACGGATCAGAATTGGTGCTTACCAACATAGCTCGGACACATCCCATGGTTTTGTCATTAGGAAAATATTTACAGAATATCTCAAATTATACATTGTCGGGGGAGGGGTAGCCCATTCCCCAACCCTGGTGGAGGAGGGATTCAATCCCAAGTCTCCACTACAACCAGCACCAGCCAGTTGTTACCTTGCAATCAACTGTCATAGTTGTGCTATGTACATTGGGTTTTTAACTTCTCTCAACCATGTAATCAAGAAGCTATAATGTCTTACTCGTTTCATTCACTCGGATAAAGCCTCGAACCATAGTGTTCAAAGTGACATCATCTGGTGCATAACCACTTCTTTCCATTTTCAATAATAAATCCTCCGCTTCCTTGAAAAGACCTTCTCTACAAAAGCCATTAATCATTGTATTATACGTCTTAACATTAGGTTCTAACCCTTTGGAAGTGATAGTACCAAAAAGTTCTCTTGCATCTTCAAGCTTACCAGCTTTGCATAATCCATTAATAAGAATGGTGTAAATAACAATGTCAGGAATCAACCCCTTAGTTTCCATCTCATGAAATAACTTTATTGCTTCAACAAGACAGTTGTTATTGCACAATCCATCCATTAATATTGAATATGTATATAAACACGGGTTCTGCCCACAAACCTGCATCTCACTGAAGAGTTCTTGTGCAGACACAATTCTTCCTGCATGGCATAACCCAGCTATAAGAGAGTTATAAGTAGTAGTGTTTGGCATCACTCCCCTGAGGGTCATTTCTCTGAAAATCTTCATGCCTTCATCTATCTTTCGATTCTTGCAATGCCCATTGATTAAAATATTGTACGTAACTACATCAGGCTGGCAACCCCTATTACACATTGAAACAAAGACTTCCCTTGCCTCCTCCATTTGTCCTTGCAAGCAGTATCCATCCATCAATGCATTGTATGTGGTTGTATTGGGTTTTTCACCTCTTTGAATCATTAGTTCTAATAGCTCATATGCTTCTCTAGCCATCCCTTCCTTGGAAAGATCATCAACTAGTGTGTTAAAAGTAACTACATCTGGCAAGGTTCCTTGTAGAACCATTTCATTTAGTAACCTCACAGCTTCTTTCCGTTGACCTGAATTGCATAAACCATGAATTAGAGAATTGTAAGTGAATCTATTAGGCTTAACACTTCTTTGGATCATTATGTCTAATAGCTCACATGCTTTTCTAGTCATCCCTTCTTTGCAAAGACCATCTATCAGCACGTTAAAGGTAACAACATTAGGCGAGACTCCCTGCCCGACCATTTCATTTAATATTCTTGTAGCTTCTTTCCATTGACCTGCACTGCACAATCCATGAATCAAAGAATTATAAGTAACATTATCAGGTCTAATACCTCTTTGAATCATAACGTCTAACAGTTGATATGCTTTGTTAATCATCCCCTCTTTGCACAGAGCATCCACCATCGTGGTAAATATAATAACATCTGGCGAGATTCCCTGCTCAACCATTTCACTAAACAACATTGTAGCTTCTTCCAACTGGTCAGAATTGCACAAGCCATGAACTAAACAAGTGTAAGTGATGACATTAGGTTTCTGACCTCTTTGAATCATGACCTTCATTAGTGCTCCTGCTTCTTTGATATCCCCTTTCTTGCAATGAGCCTTTATTAAGATGTTAAAGGTTCTTGTATTTGGTGAGATCCCACGATCCATCATGTCTTTGAAAATTTTCCCAGCTTCTTCCCACAGGTCTAAATTGCACAGGCCATGAATTAGACAGTTGTAAGTTATGACATTTGGCAGAATTCCTTTAGCAATCATTTCTGAGAAAAGCTGAAGACCTTCATCCGCTAGTCTGTCCTTGCAGAGACCATCAATGATCGTGTTATATGTTATAGCATCAACCTTGAAATTCTCCTTTCCTTCCATCTTCCTAAGCAACTTAAGAGCCACGCTAGTTCGTCCTGTTTTGCAGAGTCCATTAACTATTATCCCATAGGTAACTTCATCACATGCGTATCCATTGTCCTCTATTTTCTTTATCATCTCCATGGCCTCCACTACTTTATCCTCCATCACTAGCCCCTTGATCAGAGTATTTATTATTACAAAACCTGGCCCATACCCACGTTTCAAGATGTTCCCGAAGACGGAGAAGCCGAAGTCCACCCGATTCAAGTGACAGAAACAATTAACTAAGATATTGAGCGTACATGCATCAGGTTGGATTTGACAGTAGCCCATCTTCTTATACAGAGAGAGCACAGAGGGGTACTGTTTCATCTTGGCGATGGCCGCTAATATATGATTAAAAGCAAAAACCGAAGGCGTGGGTCGCATTTGAATCATGCGATTGAAGAAACCCATTGCATCATCAAGGCTAATGGATCCTGATTTACACTTAATTTTCACTAGATTCTCGAACTGAGTATGACTCGATATATCAGGAGCTAAGCTACTAGAAATATTGCTGATAGAAAAAGATTGTAGATAAAGATAGCTACTAGTAACAGTAGAAAGAATTCGAACTGGAAGAAGAAAACCGTTAATACTGGACTCACCGGAGCAAATATGTAGTATGATGCTTTCCCTTCTTGTCATTGTTTACGTCGGACACGAAGAAACCATAGCAAACCCCACCACGACGGACGGCCGATAATTTTGGTATCAACAGTGATACCAAATTTACAGACTACAGAGACAGAGTAGCTCATGCTCTTGCTTTTTTTGGGTAAAAGATTTAAACCTCCCCTGAGGTTTCTTCTAAATACTAAAACCTCCCCTCATTTTCTTTTAAGGACTTAAACCTCCCATGGCAGAAGAACACACCGTCATATTTCGTGGGACCAATAAAAAGACTTCTTTACCCTTAAACATTCTTTAAATTTTCAAAACATGTGAAAAGCCAATTCAAAAATGTTCACGTAACTAATAAAAATAATTCCGTCTCACCATTCACCTTTGATTTGTGCTCAAAGCCTTTCTTGTAGATCTTGAATATTGAATCCTGACATTAGCGAAAGGGAGATGCGAAGGGCTTTTTCTAAACAAGGTGAAACATAAAGTGTGAAGTTCATTTTGTGCTTATTTTTATTGTTGGTTTGTGAATATGGAGAGACCATGAGACTCGGTTTCTAATTAATGAGAACCGTTTGAGCATTCGGTGCTTGATCCACTGATAAGTTCCTTTTGTTTTCAATTTTTCTGTATATTTCAGCACAGGTGTGTCTTTTCAAAGAAATAACATAGATGTGACCAGAAAATGAATTTTTGATCAGGAAACTCATTGGAATATGGAGGATGTGTTGTACTAACTGTTGTTGAATGCAATGATACAGAGGAGACAGGGTTCTATTTCCTGAGGACTATATTGATTTTACTTTGAAAAGGTAACGTATTGAGAGAGAAAAAGAAAGAGCAGGAAGATGAGTCAAAATAGGGCCTTCCTTTTGACTGAGAGAGAGAGAGAGACATGAAAGAGTAAACAAAAACTACAATCTCAGACTAAACCCAAGAATTTTTACTACGATCTTTGAGGATTCCATTGTACAAAGCCATCCGATTTACAGCTTTCACTGGGCTACGTTACGAATCTCAAACTTCCAAGCATGATTCAATGTCCAAAAGCTCATATCTATTCGTTGTACAAAGTAAGGGCTTAATCCTCAAAAAATGGCAGTATTTCTTGTCAATGAATGCTGCTCAACGCATACTGAACTCTGGACCTTCAGATTTGTTGTTGATGAGGTCTGCTATATTTTGCAGTTGTGGCCGAACGAACATCCATCTGATGAGGGAGAAAGAGGGGTGGGTAGAAAAAATTACGAAGAGAGAAAAGGGATCAACCGAATCATTTGGGAATTTTGATCAAGGGTATAATTGGGATTTTGAAATAATGCCAGACCGCACATTATGCCACATGTAAACGATTCATAACAGTTGGTTAAAAGAGGGTAATATTTGTCTAATGAAATCATCAATGGGGGAGGTTTAAGTCCTTTCTGAAAAATAGGGGAGGCTTTAATATTTATAGGAAGGGTTCGACTATGTTATAAAAAAGATATGATTTCCGAAAAACAACTTACCAATAAACTAGAATCATAAATATGGTAGCAAATCAGATATTATTTATTAAAATTCATAGATAGGTTTTGATTGGTCAAACTCATTATATAATGCATCTTACACTAACCTTATAGTACATTTCAGCCATGCTGATACCGTAAATTTTTATTCATRATTGATGTTCTCAATGTATGGCTGAAACATGGTCGGTGTAAGGCACATTGTGTTAGGAGCAGATCCGATTTCCTATTGTGGCTCATCTATAATTAATTACTTATGTACTTTCAATTTACCACATAGACTCCCCTTTACAATGGGGTTAGTGACAATTACCCCATACTTTAATTTGGGATAAATATCCTCTTGAACTTTCACTTAGGCTTCTACAATATAACTACATACAAAATATAAGGTTTTGCATTCTACATATTTGTATTTCTACTTTTAAATTGAGCTTTAGTGATAAATACCCCCTCTATTATAGTTCCATCAGTTTACTTCGAGAAGTTCTTATTTAGTTATTTAAAATCTTTTAATCCCCAAGGTAATCTTTTTCTTATTTATTTGAATGATTTATAATTTGATTAATTTTCTAAATATAATATTTGATGGAGGACGATTTGACCCAACCTATGAAATGGTGACACATGGACACTGACTCAGCACGAGTGACAGCTCAGCGTGGTAGCCTGGTAAGACCAAGTGACGGGCCCATAAAGCAGCTTGCTACATTGTAGCTCACAAAAGGAGAAGCTCGCCACAATGCGAGCTCCGGGTTCCCCAAGCTACCTTTGAAGAGATACTCCGAGGCAACTTTAGCTCGAGCTAAAGTTATTAGCTCGTCCGAGCTCCCAAGCAGACAAGTCATCCCAAGGAGCAATTCTACTAAGGATAATCCTGGAGTGTTCCAAGCTCGCTACACAATAGCTCGCGAATGAGCCGCATGAGCGCTCCTCAGGAAGCTTCTGACTGACAGGCCGTACCAGTCAGACTGCGCCATATCCCTTACTGACAGCGCAATCCCAGTCCTTTCGGTAGTGTGCGTTCACGTCTCTCAACAGGCAAAGGCATGCCTGCCACTTTGGAGACGTGTCACTCACCTGTGCGAAACGTACGCCACAACGGCCACCTGTGCAGCCCAGGCAGGTAACAGCTGTGGCAGGAGCCCAGTGGCGGTTATGCCTGACTTGACGTAAGTGCCCCTATAAAAGCCCTCAGAGTAGGAGAGAAACTTTTTCTTGAGACCTCTAACCTCTCGAGTATAGTGAGAACGCGCTATCTGCACTCTTAGCCCTCGTCTCCTTTTTGCTTCTCCTACAGAGTACTAACTTAAGCATCGGAGTATCCCCACCGGGTAAACTCCCCAGGGATTCTTCTTCTTCTTCTTCATCTCAGGTACCTTCTAGGAGCCACGTGAGTACCGGATAGAAGTGACCAAATCGCACTACATCAATATTAAAATCATCTTGGTTGTTATAAAAAATCTTTGTAGATTTTTGGCTGGATTTAATATTGGATAAATTACAGAGACCTGATGTCGGTTAACTCCACAAAAATTTCTCAAGTGGTTGTTTAAAATTTTCTAAATGCCCAAATTAAACTTTTATAATTTACTTTACCCTTTTGTTTAATTTATGAAATCATCTATTTTTTTACACACTGCACTGAAATGGTTTCTACATTAAAGTTCATTGTCTTCTCCATAGAACCAACAAAAAATAAGCAAACCTTTTTAGACAAAACAAACAAGAAAGAAAGTCCCATAAGTAAAAAGGAAATGAAAAAAAAATTCTAGACAACAGGCTTATTGATTGCCCATAATCGTCTTCAACTTCTGCAACCATCCCCTTGTCGGAAAGTCTGATTTGCTGGAAGCCGCCCTTTTGCTTCAGATGAAAACGATACCATGACGGTGGGACCAACAAAAGACGTAATAACAAGAAATCCAACAAACATGGAAATGATTGGGGAGATCCTACAACAACTAGCTGTCATGTTTGAGAAATTTTTGTGCCTTATTTTTTTTTCTGCTACACTTGTTTGTATTTGTATAGATTGGCAGCATTATCTTCTTCTGTGATCAGCAAAACCCCATGAATCTGAAGTTGTTTCCATGGAAACACACCTCTCGGCTCCCACCAAACACACCCAAAACTGAATAAACATCTCTTAGCTGTCTAACAGATTCTGTTAGGCAACTGTCATTCAATTAGATAATTGTTAAGACAGTTGTTAGTCGAAGATGTACACGTATAAATATTTAACATGAATGTCAAACTAGATACAATTTTTCCATTCCCAATATTTATCTGTACCATTTTACAAGGTATCAGAGCGAAAACTCATCGCAATTGTCTTTCTCGCACGTCTGCACCTTTGAGAATTCTTCACCGCACGTTGGTGCCAAAGAACTCATCGTATCTGTTTTACTGTCAAGAACTCATCACACCTATTTTACTTTAGATCAACCTCCAAGAAAGTTGAAGTCTTGTATTTGTCAGCAATCTCTCACCAGAATCCATGGCAACTGGTAGCCTTCACAACCTTTCTGATTCAAAATTGTCATACTTCATCCATCCGTCTGACCATCGAGGAGCCGTATTGACCTCGTTTCTTTTCAATGGAGACAACTATTCAACCTGGAAGAGGACAATGAGCAATGCTTTTTAACAAAGAATAAGCTCGGTTTTGTCGATGGATTCATCAAGAAACCGAATAAAACTTCACCAGAACTATTTGCATGGATAAAATGCAACTCGATGGTCATTGTGTGGTTGTTTAATTCACTTGCTTGAGACTTACACAAGAGCATAGCATATGTGGAGTCTGCAGTTGATATTTGGCGAGATCTTGAAGACAGATTCTCACAAGAGAACGCATCACGGATCTTTCATCTCTGGCATGAGCTGGCCCTGATCAAACAAGAAAACCTGTTTGTATCATCCTATTTCACTAGATTGAAATCATTGTGGCATGAGTTATCTGTATATGTTCCCATCCCAAGCTGTACCTGTAGCAATTGCACATGTGGAGTTATGAATTTGCCATCGAAAAGGAACTTGAAAAGGTATATTAATTCCTTCTTGGTTTGAATGATTGTTACAATACAATTTGTGTTAGACAATTTTGTATGCCCTTAGCTTTAATCCGATTGGATGTACTTTTGACATTTAGTGTAAATAAATGAAGTGCATGTTTGATTCATGTTGTTTGGTATAATTCTGTGTAAAACCCTAAAACTGGACACTTATAGNCTGACGTAAGTGCCCCTATAAAAGCCCTCAGAGCAGGAGAGAAACTTTTTCTTGACACCTCTAACCTCTCGAGTATAGTGAGAACGCGCTATCTGCACTCTTAGCCCTCGCCTCCTTTTTGCTTCTCCTACAGAGTACTAACTTAAGAAGCATCGGAGTATCCCCACCGGGTAAACTCCCCGGGGACTCTTCTTCTTCTTCATCTCAGGTACCTTCCAGGAGCCACGTGAGTGCCAGCTAGGAGTGACCGGATCGCGCTACATCATTTGGCGCCGTCTGTGGGAAACGTTTCGAAAAGCCTTTCTCTAAACTTTCACATCTCTTTACTCTTCAAAAATTCAATACTCATGGCTTCCTCTAGCAACATCGGACGAAGCATGGAGATGGATAACTCTAGGGAACAGCCCCAACTTCCTACTG